TGTTTCTGCTGAGATTATTGCCCAAAAATTTGACACAGAAAGAATAGCCTGAATGAAGACATTACTCAGTAGCTGTATCAGACTTCATAATCTGCCTATATTTTATGTCTCCTAGCAGATCATAGCACTGCTCTGTTTCTAGTCTGACACTTTGTTTTGATTTTAATAACCTAATATGAATTAAAATAGCAGGTGCATAGCAACACCTCTTTAGAATGAGTGTTTGATGCTAATAAGCATGTTTAGCCAAGATGTTGCTGAGCCATGGCTTTCATCTCAGCCTGTACAATACATATATGATTTTTAAAAAATTAACCACTTAGCTGCTGGCTTAAGGATTGTGAAAAACATGTATAAAATATCAACACAAAAATTATCAGTCAGTGAAGTGATGGGAGATCATTAGGAAAACAGGAAAGATTCTATGTGGTCAGATGACTAACATCACTATACTCTGTATTTTTGCTAATAATGCTGCCAACATTGGAAAAGCTGGATGTGGTCTGATAAGAGACTGATGCATGTAAAAGGAACCAAACACTACAGAGAAGGATTCTTGCCCAACATAAAAATGAAACAAAAATCTGTGCACAGACACAAGCAAACTGTAGTTGCATCTAGTGGAAAATTGAGGGCTCATTGAATGAAAGGGTTAAGGAAGGGATTACAAGAATGAACTCCAGGCAGCCAGTGGATTCAATTCCCCTAGATTGCTGGGAGAAGGAAAAAGCTGCATATCTTTGTCTCTTGTAATTGCTTTGTTCATTACCCTCCTAAATCCCCAAAACAAACAACCAACAAGCCAAGCCCTCCCTTCATACAGGCATGGTCCTGCTATTACAAAGGTTCCACTTGTTAAAACCACTCTTGTCTATTTTGGGGCTTTTTAACCTTTTATCCTCTTACCGGGTTGAAGGTCAACAGAACTCACAAAGAAAATATTGTAATTTGTTTTGCTAGTAAACTAGGACTTTACTGGAGGCACAAACTGTATCAGACTGGGATAGTGCAGACTTCATATTTGACCTGGGTGAAAACACAGCTCGGTTGGACTCGATAATCTCAAAGCTCTTTTCCAACTTAAATGATTCTATGATTCTATTATGAGTTCTGCTACAACAGGATCAATGTATCATTTAATTTCTCTTCCAGCTTCTGGGGCAAACACTGTACACTCCATCATTATCTTAATACGTGCTGTTGCACGTGAGATAAATTCCCTGCATCACTGAAGTTTCCAATCTCTCCATGATTTCAGTACTTGAACAACATTTCATGTCTCTCGTTCTGAATCATCAAACTCTGCACCTTCTGATAGGAAACACCAGCAAAATGGCAAAAATTAAAGAGAAATCCAACACACACGGCAGGATAAGAGGGATTTCTGAAAGCTGCTTATTAAATTCTGGTAAAAATATTGTTGGTCTTGGATATGACTTTGTGTTAAAGGTATAATTGCATTAATTCTTAGCAAGGAAACAGAATTTCTTAGGTGAACACTTCCCCCAGCATCTTGATTTATTCTCAGTTTGGACGAAGCTGTTAATAGGCTGAGTTCTGCAAAGTCTGTGACTCTGGTAAGTCTGGATGCACTGCATGCATATTTTCCATGGGTAAACCTATGCATTTGGAGTCAGTGAGCCTAAACTGTGCAGCATAATTAGAGGAATGAGCCTCAGGTTGCTTTGTCAAAACATTCTTTAATTGCTGGATTTTAGGATTATTGGATTAGAAGATTAGATGGGATGCCTGGAAATCTTAAACTGGAGCATCCACTAAAGTAAGGCTTCTCATGAATCTGATTTACAATGCATCTATAAACCTCTCAGTTTCTATAAGTTGCTGTAGCAATTATCCAAATATATTTTCATGGTAGGAAAATATGGACATATTAACTATGTTTTTTCTGACCTCCCTTCTTTTCTAACACATGTTAAGGAACCTGGTAACTTTTCTCCATGAGAATCAATTGCCAACTCTGATGTAGCCAGGGGGGATAGAGTGCTCTGAGCTTGGTCTCTGGATCACTGAGCTTCCTTGCCCATAGGATGCTGAAGGAATCCTGATACCAGCCAGACATGGCATTCACCCTGCAGTGGGTGATTATTACTGAATTACATCATGAGCAGTAAGCACAGCTGCATTTTTGTGGCATTCTTACAAGACTGACTGTTGTCAAAGCATTTTGCTCAATGTCTCTGAGTCACAAGAACAAGGTGCACTACAGGTCCTCCTCCTTTTTCTTCAGTGCAGTACCAAGTGCAGAGACTTCACACGTGGCACACAGGAAGTTATTCCATCATTCCTCACGTGAGCTTATCTCACTTCTAGGGCACACTTAGTACTTCACTCCTAAAGTGTCTGTGAGAAGGATTTCTCCAGCTGCTGGTGCTCTCCCTGCTTGGCCCAATGTGTCACATGCCTCACAAGAAAGACTGTCTGTATGTTGTATATCTGTGTGTGTGGCACAAGGATAAACAGGTCACCAAACAGGGAGGGAAATTCAGGCCAAGGCTCCAATCCCTCTTAAGAAAAATGCTATGAAGTTGGTCATGTCAATATTGAGCAGAATTGTCTGGTAAATTCTGCTGGAGGTTCTGAACCCACGCGTTTGGAATCCGGATGTTTCAAGTGGGACAATTGATATAACAGTGCCATGTTGCTTTTTCCTGAAATGGTTTTGTAATTATTAGGAAGATGACTTGTAATTCGTTTACCAAAGAGTTTTGAAAGTTATTATTAATAGTCTGTCATCAAGTTTTGTGAAGCAAACGGGACTTCTGTTCACAAGCAATATGGGGACAGCTGTGCTGGCCATATTCTCAAGATAGGAACAGAGTAGTCATCCCCACTTCAAAGCACCATATTCCTATATCACTTAGTACTTGCACTGCTGAAATGACAGTATCCAAAATAAAAGCCAAAGCACTGAAGTGTCCCAGTATGATGAAGATCATGACTGCCTGAACAGAAGGATCGATATGGGAAGGTGTAAATCACATTCTTATTTTCTGGGGTAAAAGAACAAAATACTTTGGTACAATTTTGGCATCTTCTAAAGTCAACTGGTATTTCTGTCACTGATTTCAGCTGTGCTTTTTGGGTCTGGCAGTCTTGTCAGGATTTAAAATACTTGAATAAGTATAATTATATCTAGTCAGAGCTTTCATATTTTCAAATCGAAACTGTAGGAATAAAAAAGGTAACAGTTTATCACTTTGTTCTTTGGTAACAGAGCTCTGCGAAAAATAAGTGCTTTCACTAAATTCCCACTATTTCAAAAATTTCTGTCTGAGGTAGCACAGAGCTCTCCAACTTCCCTTAAAACAGTGATCTGTGTTTCTGTTTAACCTAGGGACTGATAAAAATGGTTATACAATTGGGTAGCATAAAATAGGGAAATAAATAGCTCAACAGATGTTCAGTGGGATACATTTTTTCTCTACTGTGAGTGGCTGCTCACTACTGTCGAACTAAAAAGAAAGTACCTGCAGGGGCCCTTTGCCTGCCTAAACTGAGAAGGCAGCCTGGCTAAGTCTTGCCAAGAGTCAGAAGCAAGGGAGTGTCTGTCACCGACAGGAAAGGGAGCTCAGTGTAGGGCAGGCCTTCACCAGCGTGGCCTCTCAGCTCACCAGCAAGGGAGTGCAGGTCCTGTTTTCCCACATTCTACCCCAGTGGAACTATGATGTCTTCAAAGAATATTCTGCACATGCACCAGTTGGAGCCTGAGCCTTTGTTTAACCACATATCCTCCTGAAGCACTTATTTCTGTGAGACACTGCAGCAAAACTCCTCTACAAACAGCCAGAGCACATGGCCTGAAAATAGGGACAGAACTGGACATGAACCACTTCCCACCCCCGTGCTCACCCTGTGCTCTTAAATGTAACTATAAACTGGAGCCCTGGAAATCTCTGGCCTCTTCTGAATTGCTGTCATGGGTAAAATTATCCCCAAAGAACGTGACACCAACCACACACAGTTTGGGGGTCACTAGAATTGCTGCTAACTTTGTGTCGATCAACCCCTTTTTGTGTGTCACCCCTTTTTGTGTGGCTCTAAAAACTCAGCTGGCTTTTTTGGCTTCTTTACCTCTTAAAAGACATGCAAGATTTATTTCTAAAGGGTTTTATACTTATCAGAGATTCACAGAAAGAGAGAAAAGAGTAGAAGGTTATAGTAAGTGTGTGAATCCTGCCATTTGTATTACCGAAATATTTTTGTAATCAAAAATATCCTTGCCAGAAACAGTTTCAGGTTTCTTTGGTATTTAGAAATCCTTTGCTAAACAAAGTAAAAATGAATGATAAACAAAATTGAGTTTCCTTTGAGCCTGATGTTCTTGCAGCTGCACTCCACTTTTAAGAGTAACCTATTAGCAATTAATTTAGAATGACACTGGCAAGCAGTTCCCAGACTTTAATTAATATCTTTTTGACAAGCTCATAATCTTTCTAGTTAATAAAGTCTCCCTTAAATTAGTTTAACTCTGATTTCACTTACCATTGTAAGCAATCAGCATCAAATCTAGGGTACTTAACAGTACTTTCTCATTTCAAATGCCTTTAGACAGAGAATTTATAGTTACATTTTAAAGAGTAAAAAGAGTATTTGATGAAGGTCACCCTCAATCCACTGGCAGAGCTGGAAAGAAAATCTAGGTGCCTGATGCCCTTCTGTCGTGTGATTGATTAAGCAGTGGGGCTGTCTCCTCTCTTAGCATCTTGCAAGGAAGGGATTAAATTCTGATTCCAAGTTACATAATTGATCCTTTTCCTTTATGTCAATATCAAGATCTTTGAAAGTTATAGTACAATGCTGTAGCTGTAATATAGTGAATCACTGCCTGTTGTAAAAGTTACTGAGATAATAAGTATCAGTACAGGACAACTTAGGGGGCAATTTCTCACTTAAATTTAATGCTCTTAATATATTTGTCTATCTCTGAAAACTTTGCCCTTAGAATTCTGTGTAATTTTGCCCACATGTCTCAAATGCAGAACCAACCTACATGAGGGTGTTTTGCAGCCACGTTACCAACTGTGCTGTGCAATAGGAGACAACACCGTGAATTAGAAAAGATGCTGAGATTGAATCTCCCTTTTCCTCTTGGTAAGTCAACAACTTTTATATAAATGCTCTGAAATGTGCTATGTATATGCCTATTGCATATGTGTATTATGAAGAAAAAAATTTTAGCTGTAATGAGGTAATTTTTGATATGTAAGATCACATCAACCTTTCTTTCTGCTTTGCCTACAAAACAAACTAAGAGGTGCACAAGTTACTGTCAGGCTTTGAGTCTGAGAGGTTTTTTTCAAAATTTAGAAAACTCCAACTTCCAAGCTGTGAAGTTTTAGTCTGACTACATCTACAAAGAGAGGAGATCTTTTCATTTTAAAGGTAAGCAAAGTTTTGTGTCTAACAGACAACTGTAAGAAATACTTGTGTAAGCACTGGATGACTCTACTGTAACACACTGCCAAGGGAGACTGAAGGTAATCATTTTTGAAGGTAATTTTTGCCAAGTGAGGATATAACACTTTTTTTAATTTGCTGCTTCACAGGGATGGCTGGTTTTACTTTTTATTTTTCATGTAAAATGAAGGTTGATGTGAAAATGAGGTATGAAAAAAAACAATATTTGCATATTAGTCTCCTTCATCTTAAATAAATGTAAAAGCCTAATTTAAAAATCTGTCTCATTAACAAGGACTAAGATAATCAAGGTGATTGAGAAAGATCATTATGTTCTGCAACTTGATTGGGATCCCAAGACCAGGAGACATCTCACCACCTCTAGAAGTTGTGAGTGCTCCAAAAGTATTTGCCTAAAACATATAAAACTGAAAATAACATGTCCCAAACACCCTTTAGAACAGTTTTAGCAGCAATAGGCACCACCTTGAAATACTGACTTTGTACAAAGGAGTTATTTTAGGTTGCTTCTTTGTTCTTTGTTTTTTTCCTCTTAAGTCAACGCTGGGGGGGGGGGAAAAGAGATGAAAGAGATAGCTAGCAAGGAAAAGTGCAAAAAAATGTTTTCAATCAGTAGTTTGTTCCTCAGCTGAAGTTCCACAGCTTTTCCCTAAGAGCCTGCTGCCTGTGACAGCATCAGCAGCCTGGAGGCCTTATTGCTGTGACAGTTCCTACAGTTCTGTGGCAGAGATAATTCCATTCCAGAAGTCACAAATTAGAAAATGGTTTCCTACAATAAAACACCAAATGAAACCCAACATGATCTTCCTCCTTTCTCATGCGTGTCAACTGTAAAAAGTTTCTTTGGCCGGAATGTGGCTCTGATTACATTTCTCTATCCCAAAATAAACACGGTGCAAAAGAAAAGGGTACAGGGAGGAGGGGAAAGCCTGTCAATGGGCCACCCTCAGGAAACCTCACAAGATCTACTGTCTGTCTCTGCAAGCCAGGGAAGAGCTAAGGAAGTGATCCCAACTTGGTGGTCTTATTCTTAATTAAAACAAATGAGGCTCTTTCAGCTGCTGCAGATAAATATTTGATGAAAAGGAACAGGGACAGATGTCGAAAAACTGTAGTAAATAAAAAAGAAGACCAGAAGAGCAAATGTTACAACAGTATTTTATATTTAAAAAAAAAAATCATTATACAGATTTCTGTTAAATGTCTAATTTTACAAAGATCATTCCAAAAATGGGAAGACTAATTCTTCATATTTGCTTTGTTGAAGTAGAATGAAAATACAAATGCATATAGATAAAGAAAAATTTTTAAGTCAACTTGTTGCACATTATGTGGTTAAACAAAAGGGTGAGGTTTTGGGCCATTGATGAGACAGAAGACTTGAAAGTCATCTGTACACTTCCATGAGTTTATGTTAATTTTAGAGTGACCGATAGAGTTTTGCTCCAAAATATGTGTTAAGGATTCACAGTGAGAAGCTGCCCAGCAAAATCCAGTAGAACATCCCTGTTGCAATAATCTATCTTAATATTTGTAAGCCACAGCCTTTCTGAATGGTTAATGTTATCAGGTGAATGTGATGCCACTCAACCTCTTCCTGTGTCACAGTTGTATTTACAAGTACACTTGGATGTAACTTCAGACTTCATAGTGCTCACAGTGGGGATTTACATGAGATGAGCTCCATTTTAGTTACTCTGTGCCTTGACAGTGCTGGGTCCAGATTAGTTTGTCTTTTAGCAAATTCATTGATAGCATTCTATGAAAAAACTGATCTAATGGAGTTGGCTTCAAAGTAGGCCATAAAAGAAAGCTGAGTCATGAAATCAAGGAAAAATCTCAGTATTTGGCTCTTTCAAGATTAACATCTTCACTGTTAGTGTTATATTGGCATTGCCTGCTGGTTTAAGGTCTGATTTTGCCATTCCTGGGTAAAATGGATGTTTCCATTGAGTCCAATGGAATTGCACATCTGAGTGTGAAAGAACTGATTTTATAAGTAGGCTTTACAAAACTGCTGAGTGAGCGTGAACCACAGGAGTGTCAATGGAAATACTTCATGTGCTAACATTTAAAAATAGCATGGTGATTTGGGTCATCAGAAGCTGGTTAAACTGATATAATCCAAATTCTGAAAAAAAATATATGTTAGAGTTATGAGTGAATGGAGTCCTGGAATATAGACCTGACTCTGAAGATGGATAAGAAGAAAAAGTTGATTGACTGCAGTGCATAAAAGGGTCTACATGGGGATAGTGTAGAGCCAGAGAGTCCAACAATGGGCACAGGTGACAGCAGAGCAACATGCAGTGACAGCAAATAAAAGTGAACAGGTTCAGATGAGAGATGAGGAACAAATTCTAAACACTGAGGAAAAGTAACCTTGGACTGCAACAAACTTTCTGTAATTGGAGGTAATGAAATCAGCCTAGAATTCTAATGACTAGGTATGGGTTAAATTGAGAGGTATGGTCCTCTATGAGAACTGCAGGAGGCACTTTCTAGCTTGCAGAAAGTCAAAATATATTATCATAATTGTATCTTCTGGACACAGCACCTGCAAATTTGTGGTGTTCAGCATAACATTGTCTCCTAAGCCTCTAGAGGTTTTTTGAAGCTGACATAAAACTCCTGATCCATGGGTCACACAGAACACCTGCCCTTTCCACTGCAAATTTCAGGCAAAACTAGGTAATCTCAAGTGCACTTGATAGTCTCAAGTGCAAAACAATGAGACAGGTAGCTTTTAATTTGAGGATCAAACATAAAGAACTCAATAGCAACCTTGCTTGGCACCAATTTACTTGTGATCTGACAGAACCAATCTGAACCCAACAAGCTCCCAGAGATAACAGTTTGTCAATTTTCCATTTCAAAGGCAGCATGATAACTGAGAGCTTCCAGATATATCACAGGGAAATCAAACTTTCAGCACACAGCAAACTTTCTGATAAAGGCCTAAGCCTAATTCCATTGAAGTCAATGACAAACCCCAGCAGATTTCAATAGAAGCTGAGCGAGGCTCAAGGTGAGAAACAACTCACCTAAGAACAGTTATGATCAACTCAGTCCCCAGTTAGGACAGAAAAAATGTGAGAGGATTTTTTTTTTTAATGAGCAGTGCCCCCAGTTGAGAATTCCCAAAGAGTGAGTTACAGGGATGTGTGACACTGAGCACTTCAAGGGACCTTTGCAGAAGCTGATAGGATTTGGCAAGGTCAGCATGTCCCCAGTTAGTGTGGCATTGCCATGCCCAGCTGAGAACTTCCATAGAACCTGACAGCAGTTACCCTCTTTATTTAGCCTCCAGCAATCTCCAGGCTGTCAACACAAGCTGCAGCCAAACGTTGTACTGGAGCATTAACAGTGAGAGTGTGGCTGATGAAGCAATAAATAAAAGAAGTAGGCAGAGGGGGGGCAACAACTTTGCCCCTGTTTTCTGAGCAAGTGTAAGGACTACAAAATGTACAGGGCCACATCCATGGCATGCCCAGTGCAAGACATGAGAGAGACAGGGAACTGATACACATGCTGCCTCTGAAGCCTGGCTGCAGCTGGAATGGGATTCAGTCTTGGATCAACAACGACTGACTGCTCTGGATTCACATGCTCCAGTCCCAAATAAACACCCAAAATACCTGTACACCAGTTCTCTGCTACTGCAGCTGTGTCCAAGCAGCACTGGCCTTTACACGGGCAGACTGAGCAGCTTCTCTAAGGAACTTCCCTTCTATTTTTCAGAGTGCAAAGAAAATGGGTAGGATACATGTTTTGTGTTCCTAATCATGAGTGATATATTTTATGGAGCTCTACTTCTGTAAAGACTTCTGTGATGGGTGAAATAGAAGCAAAGAAGAAAAAAACAAGTTTTCTCCAATTTCTTGTTAAAAAAATGTAAGAAAGCCCCAGAATAATGTTCATTTTTTCATCTCCTTTACAAAGTGAAGTAGACAAAAAGGAAAGGACCGAGGTTATGCTACACAGTCAGGATTTAGACTCAGAACTTCTGGATACAACCCCAGTGCCTGAGCTACATGTTCATTTTCTTCTCTGTATTCCCCCACAATCTTAGACCATGTGGCCACTGTTGGTGAAATGAAAAACAGGTGCAGATCCATGAACAGATGGGAGACCAGCCCTGGCTGATCTCTGGAGGATAATACAACATTGTTTTCCAGCAAAGAGGATTCCAAAGAACCACAGAGGCAGCACCCCTGCCCTAAAACTGAAGCTGCTCTGCCTCACAGTGAATGTTATCTCCACCAGCCCAGCAAGAGGGGGTTTTGAGGAGTGGTCTGTTGTCTGTCAGCAAAGGACACTGCCTTACTGACCTCTCAGACTTGCAATATTGGCATCTCTGATTTTCAGGCCTGCCTATAAGGATTGTAGAAGACTAATTGCAATTCCATTCTTTGCAGTAACTGCAGCCAACGTTTCTAAGTTGCTGAAACAAGAAATTTCTTCCCTTGAGTAGACAACTTTGGAATGTCTAACCCTCAAAAAATGCTATTAGTCATATGCAGCATCTTTCTCTGGGAAAATCACTAGTGATAGGGGACAAATCATCCAGGTAAGATGAATGATATATTTGTTCTGGATCCATAAGGACAGATCTACTTTTGATTTCCACTTCTTGGGAAGCTGATGGCTTAGTCCACAATAAGTGCTTGAACAAAGAACTTGGGCTGCTTTCTTACTGGGGGAGTGGTGGTAGATAACTAACAGGGCAATTGCCTGGTCCTGAGCACAGGAGGGAGTGCTGGGATGCAAAGTACTTCCCTGCCTTGTGTGACCCACAGTTACCATCCCTGCATGGCACAAGGCACATTTTGCCTCCACATGTCACCTGTCACAGCAGGAGTATTAAAGCATGGCACCCCTCAGTTCCACAGAGCACAACCCAAGGGGGAGCACACATGGGAAGACAGGGTGTGTTTCATGGGATCACAGAATAGTTTGGATTGGATGGGACCTTTAAAGGCTGCCTGGTCCAACCCCCCTGCAGTGAGCAGAGACATCTTAATCTAGATAAGGTTGCTCAGTACCCCATCCAACCTGACCTTGAATATTTCTAGAGATGGAGCATCTCTCACCTCTCTGGGCAACCTGTTCCAGTGTTTCACCACCCTCAGCATAAAAAAATTCTTCCTTATGTCTAGTCTGAATATACCCTATTTTAGTTTAAAACCAGTACCCTTGTCCTGTCACAACAGGTCCTATTAACATTTCAGCTTAGATACTACTGGTTCCAGCTTTGCCATACATCTCTTTTGCTTCATGGAAAAACACTCATTTAGTGCTGTGTCCAAGAGAGATCACTTGTCCTTGCTAAAGCTGCTTCTACAGCAGAAATGCATGTCCACTTGGGCCAAGAAACTTGAAAAAGACCTGTTTCCTTAGACTTTATTTAAATTGGGGGCACAAAACCTGGTTTGCACGTTGACAACATATGTGTAATTCTGCTCAAATTCATTGGGAAAATCTATCTTGTCCAAGTTTTAGACAGGGTTTGAAGGAGAACATTCTCCACA